ATATATGAAAGAGGCATGTTGTAACATAAAATACAGTGTAACAGACCAAAAAAAAAATAAAATCATTTACATTTCTTACAATGCTACAGCCAAGGAAAAGCCCATAACATTTATAGCATTCTGCTACAAGCAAAACAATTATAGAAAAACAACAAAAAACCTTATAAATGCACAATCAAAGCCAATTTTCCGCTGCCCTGCTGTAAAACAAGAAATTGTGCAGTGGTTTCAGTTTTGTCGAGTGATTGCAAACTGTGTCCATATTTCGCTACGGATCTGTAAACTCAGACAATTTCACAAAATAACTCCTGTTTACGCTTGTATCCGCGTCAAATGTCACGTCTTGGGTTGGAAATGCCAGCGCTAATAACCGTGGTGCTGCTGTTAATATGCTCCGCAGCTAATCCGCTGAGCTGTTCCTCTGTGCTCGGATGTGGGCAGCGTAATGCACACGATGAGGTAAGACTTTTCAATGTGTGATGTGAGGCTCGCCTAAATTATAACGTACACATGTCGACCGGTAAGAGAGCTGAAAGCTCAGAGGGATGGCGATGTGATCAGAAATGGTTACTTACTGATGAAACCACAGAGCAGGTACTGAAAAATAAAAAAAAAAGGGTTTGGAAAACAGAATAAATTGTTCTACCTGCTTATTTAAAGGTTTTATGATTGCATAATAATGTCCAAAAACGTCAACATTTTAAAGCATGGAGCAAAAATAATGAAAAAAAAGCAAACAAACAGCTAAATCTTCATTGAATATACGTTTGTGGTTTCGACTGCAGGAAGGTTTCCGACTGACCATGAAGCAGTAGGTCCATGCTGATAATGAAATGTACATTCGTGGTATGCATAAGGCTCCCCCCTTGGAGAGATTTAAAATACCCAGAGGGACGGTGGAGAAATTAGGAAGATGTTTTTCGATGGAAGGCCATAACGATAAAAGGACAGAGGATAATTAACACGCTTCACGCTACATTAAAGGAATACAAAAGCAGAACAACCGAGAGCTCTTAAAAACAAACACACACCACTCCATCACCTCTGCATCCGTCGTACCCAGGACTGTGGGGGTAAATTACTCCGGCGTAATCATCCTTATTACAGGGGAGGTGGATTATCAGCACATCCATTCAGAAAAAAAAATAAAAAGGAGAGGAGGGATAATTTTGTTCAAGAGAGCTCAGTAATGCAGCAGAACTGACACAAGTTACTCAACCTTCAGCGGCGTTTAGAGGACGGCCATTTCCCCAGCGCTGTCTAAATGTGAGAAGTGTTGGTCACCAAAAGAGAAATTAACTTCCTTGGTTCTCTAAATGAGGTATTAGCTGCCTGAACTCACGCATAGAAACATTTATGAAGAGAGAAAAAGATCTAGAGTGGGATATAGTTGGTCCATTCACAATGTTAACAAGTCAACATCATTTCAAATGTAAGCCAAATTCAGGATACACTGCAAAAAAGGTAGATCTAAATTTTTTTTAAATTGAGGACTTAAGTGAGACACTTTGCCAACGGAACGAAACAATTTACATTTGAAATAAGAAAAAAACAATTGTATTGTCTTATTTCAAGTGCATATTATCTAATTATCTTTTTTTTAGAGTAAAAAATCTCATTCCATTGGCAAATCATCTGATTTACCTACTCAAATTAAGGTTAGATACATATATACATATGTATTATTTTTTTTAGCTTATTTCTAGATAGTTTTTGCAGTTTATTACTAGTGTTGCGCCGATGCCATTTTTTGGCCCTGATACCGATACCTGATACCTAGTTATGCAGTATCGGCCGATACCGATAGCATCGGTTTGAAATTGATGTGTGTGTATATTAGGGGTGGAACGGTTCACAAAATCCACGGTTCGGTTCACGGTTTTCGGTTCAGTATACGTTGATTGTTAGCCTGACATGTTGGTCGTGTTGCTGTTAGCATAAACAAAACGTGTTGCACAATGCTTGCACACCGTTTTTATCCAGAACTTTTCTTTCCGCCGTCATCGTAGGTCACTCTAAATGCAAAGTGGTCCCATACAGCAGACCTATAAAGTGCTGCTGGTGCGTCTTCCAACTCCTGTTCTTTCCCACTCGCCATACCCACACAAAACTCCCTGCTACACTCGGCTACGCTGCTTCGCTTCTTCTTCTTCTTTACTACTGGTGTTTGGCTTTGGTCGCAGTACCGCCACCTTCTGCTCTGGAGTGTAAATGCTTCGCCTATGAGAAAAAGGAGCAGCGCATGAACCGAACGCAACACACGCGAACAGAACCGAGACAGTCGAATCGAACGGTTCGGACGGTTTTCATAAACCGTTCCATCCCTATTGTGTATATATGAAGAACTGCATACTACTGTGATGTAAAATAATTACCATCATGGCTTTTTCAAGCTACTGCCTACCTTTGTGAGAAAGACTAATACAAAGTGAATCCAGTAGAACTTTTTATTGCCTACCTGGAATGGGTGACAATAGTTGAATCAATTTTTGACTCTTAAAACGGTATCGGTGTCCAATTTGCCGGTACTCGCCGATACCGATACCACCATTTTAGTGCTGGATCAGGGCTCCAGCCGATACTGGTATCCGAGCAACACTATTTATTACTAAATAAATCATTAATTGATCTTCTAAGTCTGCATATTTACCTTTATTATTTAGCTGTCGCCGCATAATTTAGAAGCCAAAGGACTTGATGTGCGTCTCCTACTACCAGCTGGTTATTTTAAATTCAAAACATGTGCAATTAGGATACAAATAAGAAGAGGAACAAAAAGAAAATGAAACTAAGCTGTAAAGCTTTTATCATAACCTGGTGAATTACAAGCGGATTCCCAGAGAGAAGAGTCTGCTGAGTTTTTCCTCCTGACTCAATAAAACACAATTCTTTATTAAATCTTTTATTTTAGGAAGTCACATTTCAGCGGTGGACCTTTCATCTACCTTCACTTTTTTGTTGAATGCTTTCTTTAATGTTTATATTTCTATCTATCCTGAGCTACAAGCCTGAGCAATAAAAAAAATGTTGATAAACATCTTAAGATTCATATATTTGTTAAACTTCCTTTGCACATATTGAGTCATCTTTTCCCAAAATCACTGCCCCACACCAGCGTGAGGTGAGATCAGGGGTCAACGTCGTCCCGCTCCACGATCTGTGACATGCAGCAGCAGAAAAATGTTTTGTTTTTCATCTTTCTATCTTTCTCTCCACTGTTTAAAAATACATCAGCATGGCAGGCTACAAAAAAAACCCGTCAGGCTTCTGATCGGGTGGCGTTTTGAAGTAAAAGGAGCATGTGGGCGAAAAGCAACATGTGACAGGTACACGCAGCAGACGATCAGAAGGTGCTAAGATATTTATTCTACAGACGGACTCAGCGGAGCAGGAAAGTTTTGGGGTTGTGTTCACAGAATATGAATGCCTCTCATCTTTCAGGCGTGTGTGCATAGCATCCAAAATGTAAAGTGAGTTTGTGTACGCAGCCCTCTTAGATCCTGTTTGTGTCATCAGAATGACACCGTTACAACCAGATACAATAGTTCAACACTGTCTTGATACAGACTTATCATTTATAACCAACGCTGTATTCTAAACAAGAAGGCAAGATATGTAAAGCAGAATAAAACAGCCAATAAAAACAACATAAAGAAAAAAAAAAAAGAGCTCTCAATAGATGGGTTACTGCACTACACAGTGAGTAAAGGTTAGAGCAGCATTCACCTTAAAGGTACACTATGCAACCGGTGTTGATTTTCCAGCGAGGCTCCCCCCAGAGGGCGAAAGTAAAAGTGCACCGTCGTAAATATGCTCAGCTGTTCTCCTGGTTTCTCCGTCAAGCCAGGCGCAGTTATTTTGAGCTTAGCAGACAGGCGAACGCAACGAAACACCATGTCTACTAGGGGTGTAAATCACATCCATCATGGCGATAACAGAAGTAGAAAAGTTGCATCAAAAAATACTGCAAAAATGCTGCAGAAAATCAGTGCAATGCAATACCTCGGCTCCAGACGTCCCCGCCCCCTCCACAGACGCTCCGCTGCTCCTCTCCCATATTGTAGCTCACCGCAAACAGTGCCGCAGACAGGAGGCCGGCTTGTTTTGTTTTTATGACCGAAATTGCAGAAAACAACTCGTGAAGTTTGACCCACTAGAAGAGCGAGGTGCGCGAGAACGCTGGGACCCTTTTTCCACCTGGATCTCCGCTCTTTATGGCCCTCATGTCCCTCCGTCGTCGGACTAAACTCGCCCCCACTTCCTCGCCGCCTCGGCCGTATCTAGACCCACAGTGTGTAGCACAGACCATGCTTCAATATTGAGCATAATTTAAAAATGTCTGTGTCAAGCTCACTGCAACACACTGCTGTAAGAGTATAACCAGGAGCGAGGCAGGAGGGCAAAATAGGTGTAGCGCCACCGCAGCACGGGAGGAGAATTACGCCCAGAAGCAAATGGATAAAAATAGATCGGAGGGGAAAAAAAAACATGAATCGATACTCTTGCGGACGTGTCGATGCATCGGATCGTCGGCTGTTGGATCGATGCATCGATACAAAACGATTAATATTTACACCCCTAATGTCTACTGCGGTAAGTGATTATTTTGTTCCACTTTTCGAGTTTGAAAATTTAGCATGTTTTCATACATTATTTGTTATGCATGTGTCTAAATAACAAAGATTGTAGTTAGCCAAGTTCTCGCCGTAAAGCAAGACCGACTCTCGTGATGCACGAGACTTCTGAGCCTGTGGGTGCGGGCCGAGGGCTCCTGCAATTGCAAGTACGGTATTTCCCCTACAGACCACCAGGGCGGCCGAGAAAACCTTTGTTCGACCTGAAATGACTTATTTAATCATCCAAAACGTTAAGGAACACATTAATTAACTGAAAAATGTTGCATAGTATGCCTTTAAAATGAGAACGCTGGGTATAAACTATTAATTTAAAGAAAAAAGCAAACTTCACTGTTTAATCTTTGCTTGATTTCTCCTTTCAAGTGGCACTTCCAAATTTCACATTCTATCAAAATGTTTTTTTTTTTTTTGTAATTCAGATGAAATCTCTAATGGTCGGCTGAATATTTGGTCTCCGTTAAATTTTATTTCCACCTACATATTGAAGCCATTAATGAAATTAAAAGACTTTAGTAATATAAGTATCTGGAAGTGGAAAAAAATCAAGAAAGCCTGAGAAAAAGAAAGACATATTTAAATGATAATTAATGCAGAGGAAAGATTATAAGACAAAAAGTGGTGACATAAGTCAACAAAAGGCCCCGAACCAGCAATCCCACGCCCCACAGGGATGCTCAGACATCTTTAGCGTAAAACCCATTTTCCTTATATGGCACTGACCCGCAGGTCCCGCCACAACAAGCTACTGGGCGACAAATCAAACATCCATCACTGAAGGGCAAACAGGGTGACCTCCAGAGGACTGTCCCCGTTTTACTGCATTTAGTTGCTCTATCCATCTTCAACAGAAACTGAAACTAAGGATTTGCCTTCATCCCGGTGGCAGAAAGAACAATTCTTCAACCAGGTCCTGAGGTAACGGGGGGGCAGAAAGGACAAATGTAATATATGAGACAAAAACAGGTTAATAATGGCACTTTCTTTTATATTTAAAAAAATCAAATATAATGTTTTTTATACTTTAAGTTGCACATGGAAGAGAGGAAATAACATGCAAGCTGACTGGAAGGTCAAACATCCTCCTCTAAAGTGGGATGTGGAGGTGAAAGAGTTAAAAAAATAAAAATAAGAAAATAATCTGGGATGTCTGACCTGTGGAAAGAAACTCAGTTTATTGGTTTTATCACCTCACTTCCATCCATGGCTTTCCAGATGACAGAGGGCCTTTGTGCATCTCTGAGGCATAAACATAACTATAAAAAAAAGAAAAGAATAAAAAAAACAGAAAATTTGGGAAAAAATAATAAAAGAAATAAAAGAAAAATCAGCCTTCCAGTCGGCCGCTCTGTCTTCTTTTATATTTGGGTTAAAATCTGTGCTGTTTGGTTTGCATTGAATACTTTTCTTCCCGTTTCAAGTGTCCCAGAAGAACAGGAGAGTTTTTTTTTTTTCTTGTTGTCTGTACAAATGGTGGCTCTCCATCCACACCTGGACGGTAAGTAAGTGTGCCGCGGGGGGGCTCGGCCCGCCATGTGCTGTGGGGCTCATGTCACCAGTTGGCTTTAACGGCTTTGACGTCGCTCACCAGGTTCTGAGCGAGGCAGATGCCAAAAATCTGGAAAACAGCCGCAGAAGACATTAGCTGGAGAGATATTCACGACGTCGACCATGAAAAAAGGGCAAAATGTGATGCTGTACTTTAATCAATTCAAACATATTCTAAAAGGGAAGTCATCAGGAATTTAGTTCAATATGCAGGTTTATTGGAAACCTAGAATATTATGTCAGATTTTTTATTGATTTTTTATTTATTTTTTAACAGTGTCCTCTTTGGCAATGTGGAAATAAGAATAATTGTCTTGATGCCAAAAAGAGCACAACAGATTTTACTTTCACAAGTGGAGCAGTATGGCAATTGCCATATTGCTCCAATTGTTTGCGTATAAATTGCTTTATTTTTACAGGAGTTTTACAGTTTATATAGACACTGCTATGTAATTAGAGCAGAAAAATAGAAGAAGAAAAAGGAAAAAAGAAAAGAGAAAATATGAAAGAAAGAGGAGATAGAAAGGAGACAATAAACCAACATAAAAAAAAAAAAATGTTTAATAAATTAGTGGTTTATTATGGTCTGAAAAGTTAGAGAGGAAACATCCCCGCCCTCATTGGTACTCTTCACTATGGCAGGTCTTTGCTTTGTTGGTTGATCACAGAATGCTGCCCTGAATTATTTTAAAGGGAAGTTAAGTAGAAGGAAGAAGTGAAAATGCTCCTCAAACATCAATACATGCAACCTTGAGAGGATTGTGAGAAACTGTAGACTCGAAACACAGGGATAAATGTTTGCTAAACAGGTCCATGTCACCTTCTAAAAAGCATTAGCTTCTGGATGGAGGTCCGCTTTGCAAACCCACAGAAAACACTACAAAATATGCAAAGTAAATCTAATTTCTAATTAGCTTGGTTCTGCTGGAGGTTTCTTCCTATTAAAGAGTTTTTCCTCTCCACTGTCACCACAAGCATGCTTAGTGTGAGGGATTACCATTGAGTTAATGAGTCGATACAATCAACTGGTTTTTTAATTAGGTAGAAAACTTTGAATCAATCTGACTGGATGATCTGATGAACTGTAAAGTGCCTTGAGATGACATAATGTGAATTGGTGCTATAGAAATAAACTGAAATAAATTTAAAATAAATTTTCATTCAATAATTAAAGCAAATCTGGAAAGTGTTACAGGTTTATTCCAAATGGTACTAAATACATAAAATAAAACTGCTGGATGAACTTTATGAACTAAAATGAACTTTAACCTGATTTGCTCATTTATTGAGACGCAATTCGCTGTAACCTCCCAACTCTTTGGAACTGGGAGATAAAACCAGTTTATCTGCAGTGACTTGATTTTACACAAATTCACCACCGAGTGGCAGTAATGAAAAAAAAAATAAGAAGAAGAATCACAACACATCTAATGTGAGTTAAAAACAAACACAGAAATCAAAGGAAACTGAGGTAATACAAAGTGAATGTTGGAAGGACGTTACCTGTAAAAGTGCAATGCCAACAAAGATCCCAGCAACAAAAATCAGGTTGTCCTGAAGCCACTTTTCAAACTGTCCCACGCAGCCCTTGGTGTAAATGAATCTCTGCCGTTCCAGCTCCTTTTCACACAAAAACAAAAAAAAAAAGCTGCATGATTAGAATAACACAAAACTTTGGACAGAAGAAACTCTCATTTCCCTGCATATCTGGTGGAGACGGAGGACTTGAGCCATCTTGGATCATCTTAAACATCTGAAGTCAGACCAATAACAACAGCTGGCCCAAACAAACAACCCAGGAAGTGTTCTGCCCACTGATCCCTGAGCAGTGTAAGATGCCATGCCACGGTATGAGAGCTGAGTCATGCTTGATGACCACATAGAAGGACGGATTGGAGCAAAAGAAGCCAGCGTACACATGCCTGCTGAGGACCCAGCCTGGAACAGGCAAACAGTGGGAATCTTTTTCCCAATACCAGACAGATGGTTGTCTGTGTGTCATCATTCCAGCCTGTGATTCACACTTAGAAAGAGAAAGGTGTAATTTACTGCTGCCACGACTCCAAAGGGGGGTGGGGGTGCCTCCATACAAAGCTTCCTTTGTGACTTTTGTCGAGTCAACTAGGAAAAATCTTTGTTCCCGTTAAAAACCCAAAAACTGGCTTTCAACCACTGAGTAGGAAAAGAGAGGCTCGTGTTAACCAGTGAAAAAATATCATGTTTTGCCTGTGAACTTCCTCTGAAGCTATTTCCGCTCCCTGCCTTTTGTTTCCCTCCCCCTGTCCTCCACACGTATCCTGCTCTTCCCCATTCCCCACCCTGCTCTTCCTGAGGCGAGCTGCGCAGGAACCGTCTGCACATCCCTGATAGTTTCACCGGTCAGCGCCAGAGCACGGAGAAAATTAATCCATATCAACTCTGTGGCAGCTTTTTCACAGTACGGTGGTTTGCCTAGCAACAGCAATCTTTGTGACTGCAGTGCAGAGAGTTGTAGCTTCCGCACCCACGCATGGCGGAAAAAAGGAACGGACTGGCATAACCCACAGAGCGGCCAATTACAGAGTGGAGTAAGGCTGCTCTCCGGGCTAAAACTGGAGCCTAATTATCCCTGTTAGAAGAACAATCTGTTATTAAAGGCAAGAGGCATGCACGAGAGTCAGAGTGCTTATAAACCCTTTACATTCCCTCCATCTGCTAGGCTGCCTTCCTGCTATGATGTTTACGGATCCATTTAAACATAAAGAATCCTTATATTCAGATTTGACCACCTTTCAATGCTGTGTGGATAATCAGACAATTAGAAGAGTTAAGATAATCTAATTAAAAAAACCGAAAGGGCGGTCAAGATACGAACCTGTTCACGCCGAACATCATAACCACACTGCGTGTTAATGACATCCTCCTACAAAGAAAACAAACACATTGATTTCAGTTACTTTAAGGTTGCGTTTTTGGTTGTTGTTAAAAAGTTTCCAAAGTTTGAACAATTCAGAACTTAAAAAAAGGGATTTCTAGATCAAGGTTTACTCCAGATATTTTTAGGATTAGGATTTAAACAATATGATAAAGTTGGCTAAGAACCACAAAGTTTCTACTGAGGATGCAACGAAAGTTCAGCCACTGAACAGTTATGTTTAAAAATGACTGAAAAGTGCATTTTCAGTTTTTGACGGATAGACATGTAACACCTAAACAGTACATCCAACTTGGGGAGAAAAAGATTGGAAGCAAACAGCACGGCCAATATGCAGAAACCTTGACAAGCACAAAGAAAAGCACTGAAGCAAGAGAGCACAGGTAGGCAAGTAGAGTTTATTAGAGTTGAGCTTTTGGCAGACAGTCGTATGTCTGCTTGTGTCAGGAGAGCCGATTCATTTTACCGTATTTCCACGACTATAAGGTGCATATAAACGTCTTTTTTTCCCTCCAAATGTGCTTTGCGCCCTATGTGTGTTTTTACTGCGGACGTTGTTGAGACCGCCGTGAGAACGTTAAAGGGGGAAGTGTGGACAGAAACTGCCGCCTGTGGTGATTTTTAAGAGAAAGACTTTGCCTAAAGACTTTTCCAGCTGGAGTCCTTATTAAAGGAATAGTACACCCAAAACATGATTAGCCTTCATTTTCTACTCACCCCCATGCTGAACAACACTCTGGAGTACTTTTTTGATATCTCAAATGCATCTGGAGATCTGGGAGGCTTCTTGCTGTCTGCTGACATTCAAATAATGGAGGTCTATTGTGCCCGAGACAGAAAGGTCCATAAAAGTCCACAAAAACGTGTCAATATTCCTCCATACTGCTCGTCCAATGTAATCCAAGTGTCCTGAGTGGGTAGCATCCAGAATTTACTCGAAACGAAGTCATTTAGAATGTTTTTAGAGCATAAACAGTAGTGTATAGGATTTCCTAATAGCGCCCCCATGCGCGCTCACGACGCTACGGAAGCCGGCAGACCAAACCGGAAGAAAGTGCGCATTCAGCGTCTGGTCTGCCGATAATGCAAGCGTAGAAGAAGAAATGTGCTGTTTACCTGTGCAAAGAAAGAAACAACGAAAGAAAAATGTCTGAGGACTTCAGTGTTGAGGAAGAGCATGAGTTCTTTGCCGAGCTGAATGCGCTGGTTTGGTCTGCCGGCTTCCGTAGAATCGCGAGCGCGCATGGGGGCGCTATTAGGAAATCCTATACACTACTGTTTATGCTCTAAAAACATTCTAAATGACTTCGTTTCGAGTAAATTCTGGATGCTACCCACTCAGGACACTTGGATTACATTGGACGAGCAGTATGGAGGAATATTGACACGTTTTTGTGGACTTTTATGGACCTTTCTGTCTCGGGCGCCATGGACCTCCATTATTTGAATGTCAGCAGACAGCAAGAAGCCTCCCAGATCTCCAGATGCATTTGAGATATCAAAAAAGTACTCCAGAGTGTTGTTCAGCATGGAGGTGAGTAGAAAATGAAGGCTAATCATGTTTTGGGTGTACTATTCCTTTAAGGCAAATGAAAAGGGCTGGATGGATGAGGAGATGATGAAAGCGTGGCTGAGGCAGGTGTATGTAAGGAGACCAGGTGGTTTTTTCCACTCATCACCATCGCTGTTAATCTGTGACTCCATGCGTGCCCATCTCACAGCCGATGTGAAAAACATGGTGAAACAAATGAACACTGTGCTTGCTGTTATTCTGGGAGGTCTGACAAAGGAACTTCAACCGCCCAACATCGGTGTGAACCGGCCGTTCAAAGTAAGGCTGCGAGCGACGTGGGAGCGATGGATGACCGACGGAGACCACAGTTTCAGGAAAAGTGGAAGGCAGCGCCGGGCAAGTTACGCCGCAGTTTGCGGATGGATTGTAGATGCTTGGACTAACGTGTCTGCTGGCACTGTTGTTCAAGCTTTGCAAAAGCCGGCATCATTTCCGAGGAGCCGCCCGGCACGGAAAGTGACTCTGACAGCGAAGAATGGGAAATTGGCATTTCTGATTTAGCGCAGCTGTTTAATTCAGAAACAGAGGATGATGACTTCGATGGGTTTGATTAATACTTTGTAATAAATACATGAATAAAGCACAATCATACTCAGTTTTGCTCCCGCTCTATTTTTAAATACGCAGTAGAGGTATTTAAATGTAGTAGAGGACATGTACCGGTATATAAAACCCGCGCCCTATAATCCGGAGCGCCTTATGTGTGTGTTAAATACAGTAATGGCACACATAACTGAGACTGTGCCTTTTAGTGTGGTGCACCTTATGGTCGTGAAAATACGGTACTTAATCCAAACATGCTCATAAATTTAGTTGGCCTTTTCCATCACCATGTCTAAGGACGCCTTGCGCCTCTAGCCAAGCGGCATTAAAAACTTATTAAACTTATTATTAAAAACAAAAACTAATTTAGGACAGTGCTGAGCCTTGATCTCTAGGATTTACAAATTGTGGAAAAATGTGCAAATGCTGAATTTTCAGCCTAAATTTAACTATTAACTTAAAAAAAGCTAACCCTCATTTCAAATGTTGCATGTCTGCTCTATCCAGTAGTTTCAGCTTGAAGACCATTTTCCTTCTTCTATTGTTTTGAATCATTTTATTGTAATAGTGCTCCAGATTTAAACAGACAAGTAAGTTATGGAAGAACATGGTGAAATTTCACGCTTGTCCAGTCTCTGTTCAATCGCTGTTCAATGAAAAATCTGCATATTTTTTTGGTCGTGTTCTTTGAGAGATCATTTTGACAGCGAGCAGAGTTTTTTTTTTTTATCTATTTTTGATGACTGCGTCTGTCAGGAAAAACATTTAAAATTTTAGATTTCAATCCAGAAATCTGTGAACTGCAAATTTTTTTTACAAATGAAACAAAGTGCTTTTCAATCCAACATATCTTTGTGTGATGAAGTTTAACTTTCCTACATAAGCCAAATGAACTCCCTGACCCAGAGAAGAAAAAACAAACTTCTACTTTGCATTTAAATCCTTATTCCAGAGAAACATTGTTTTCTAACACTAATAAGTGACTCACAGCAGGATCTTTGACACAGCAGGAGAAGGGGACTCCACAGCGCTCTCTACTGGGATTCTTGTTAGTGCAGTTGAAGTACATGTTCTGGTTCCAGTCATCAGGCCCATGAGCTCCACAGCACAACCACTGAAACAGCAGAAACATAAAAAAAAACCTGATCTAAGCTCTTCAGCTCACTTAGAAAGGCAGCTTACTGTGGCTGGTGGGATCTACAAGGAACTCCCCCCCCCCCCCCCTCCAATCAACCACAGATCTAATCTCTGTGACAATATTTCAGGGCAGAGCCTGGAGTTTACACATAAGAGCCGAATAACTGAAACATGTCATCATCTAATTGGATAATGAAAACATGGAATTACATTAGAATTAATTAAGATTTTGTTCTTATGAAAAATGCCCTCGGTGCCGAGTGCTTCGCTGATCTCAAGTTACTTTATGAAATGAACATATAAAACAAGCTTTTGCAAGAGGAAATAGAGGCTTTCCAGTCTGCAGATGAGTAATGCCTTGGGGAGGAGGATCGGTTCTCACAAGGATTTCAGTCAGAGGGTGCGGTAACTCACATATTCCTGGGCGAAGTCGATGAGATTCTGTAAGTCGATGTCATCCCGGTAAGCCTTGATGTTGTTGTTGATGAAAAAGTTTAGCTGGTCTTTGATCCAGTCCTTGAAGACGAAGGCGAGGATCCCTGCAGTCAGCTCCAAGAAGAAGATCAAACCGAGGAACACGGAGAACTGCAGAGGAAGGGACGCACACGGCCACAAACAATACCTCAGTCACAACAAAACAAATAACTCCACCTTATGGAGATTGTGTTTTTTTTAAAACAAATTAGAAAAAAAGCTTTGATGGTCTGCCATTCTTTATGTCTGGCTGTGGCGCCTGAACTGATGTGACAAGCGAGAGTGAAGCAACAAAGGCGGCGGTCCCTCAGGTACAGTTACATTATCCATTTACAGTAAAAGCAGGAGACGGGGCTGATGATAAATGCGCAAAAGCCACATTAGCTTCTCAGTCTGACGCCTGACTTATTGCCGCCAATGGACATCTGCTGGAGTCAGTGGATGTTCAGAATGGCAGCCAGCGATGAGGCTAATTTTTCTCTGTTACCCACACAGCCGTCGCCAAACAAACCACCTCCGTGGTAACGAGGCGGTCACAGAACATTCTTCTCACTGCTTTTTAATGGGACGGCATTTAGAGCATATTTATGATGTGTAACCACTCTGAGCATTTGGTGTCAAAGTGACACCTGCTTCCCTCATAGCACCATAGCTGGTGTGAACCTTACATCTGAAGGGGGGGCGGAGGGCTGTCAACTGGGGCAAATGGTGTATGTGCTTCAGAATCAGAGAGACAGCTTACGAATTTAAGCAGGAAGGTGTTTTCTCTGAGCGCTCCGATGCAGCCGGCGAAGCCCAGGACAAACATGACCCCTCCCACGACGATGAAGAGCCAGACGGGGTCAAAGCCGCCGAGGTCTGTGATCGATGACAGGTTTGACAGGACGCCCTGAGGGAAAGAGGGACAAACTGATTAAACTGAAATACTAACTTGATTTTCTACAGGGACCTTCTGCAGCCTTCACAAAATCCTATTTAAAAAAAAGGAAAACAGTTGTTACTGTTGTTAACATCAAATACTGTTGCCTCATTCAGAAGTTTTCAACCATATTTATTCAACTTTCACTGCTGATAAAAATAAAAGAAAGGGACGTGTACTTTCAGTGTCTTAATAGAGTCCAGTTAAAGGAGAATACCTTAAGCTGGGTATACACTAGGGGTGGAACGATTTACAAAATCCAAGGTTCGGTTCGGTTCACGGTTTCGTGGTCACGGTTTTCGGTTCGGTATATGTTGATTGTTACACCGAAATCGCATAAAAATTAATGAAATTAATGAAAAAATGCAAAAAAAATGTATGAATTGCAATTGTTTTTTAATGATCTGCGGAAACCCTGGATCATTTGAATTTAATCATCTCGCGCATGCCCTCTACGATCTCCAAGGAACTCAGAGCGGAGCGGACGGGAGCCACAGCTGAGGCTGTAGGCTTTGCTTTGAGCAGGCGGTCTGGAGCGCAGCGGGGCGGAGCGCTGATGGAGTATGAGGGATTTCGGGGTTAGCATGACATGTTGGTCATGTTGCTGTTAGCATAAAGAAAACGTGTTGCACAATGCTTGCACACTGTTGCACTTTTATCGTAGGTCACTCTAAATGCAAAGTGGTCCCATACAGCAGACCTATAAAGTGCTGCTGGCGCGTCTTCCAACTCCTGTTCTTTCCCACTCGCCATACCCACACAATTCTCCACAACAACTGATTTTTTTCTGCTACGCTCGGCTACGCTGCTTCGCTTCTTCTTCTACTTGTTTACTATAGGTGGTTGGCTTTGGTCGCGGTACCGCCACCTTCTGCTCTATGAGAAAAAGGAGCAGTGCATGAACCGAACGCAACACATGCAAACCGAACCGAGACAGTCGAACCGAACGGTTAGGACGGTTTTCATAAACCGTCCCATCCCTAGCTTACACTGAAATATTTTTTCAATTGTTGCACGCAGCTACAGCTCACAATGTACGACGGAACTGCAGGGTTTTAAAAGTTCACTGCATGTCTAAAAACCACGTCGGATTCAGCTCTGCAGCGAGATGGCGCTACTCAGACTCGTCTATCTGGAATCAAAACGAGTAGAAGAGGAAAAAGACGGAAGTATTGATGCCTCCTGTTGAATTTGAAGCTCACTAGAGAGAAATGTGCTGCTTTGGCAATTTGTCCAATTTTGTGCTGAAACCCCTAAAAAGTAAAGGCGACGATGTAAAAAAAGATGCGGCTGAGCAAACATGGATACTATGGTCTGTCAATTTTTCCGAAAGAACTCCATTTCAATCGCACCACCGCCATCCTTCTGTGTTTTCATCTGAGAGGAAGAAGAAGAGGAATCCTTGTTTGCGCACTGAGCAATTTGCCTACGGCCACCTTACTTTTTTTTTTTTTTTTTACTGACTAATAAAGGTTCAATAAAAAAAACGACGGCCGACTGAATTTCAAACATGTTTGATTTTCTCTCGACCGTACGATTCCTGATCAGGAGGCAGTGGTGAGACGCTGATCGCCCCACGTTACTCCATGTACACTACATGATGCACCAACAGGCTGAAAGTCGGCCAGATCGAAAAATTCTCGCACGACTGGAGAATCGGCCCCGAAACAGCTAAAAAAAATGCCCGGCTTAAAACTTGGTTAGTTTTTGAGGGTGATCCAATCATCTTCTTACTATCAAAACATTTGCAAATATTTATTTACTTTAGGGCTGCAACTAACGATTATTTTTAAAATCGATGAATCGGACGATTATTTTTTCGATTAATCGATGAATCGGACAAAAAATATTTTTTATATTAACCTCTTTATTCCAAAATAAACATTTTAGACAGAACAAACAAGCACACAAGTACAGGTTGCTCATTAACTGTACTGGTGCAATATGAAAAATAAATGTTTGTGTTAAAACTACGCAAACTTACATGAGAAATGTAGCTGTACATCCACAAAATATAGGGTACTTTGTTTCATAAAGCGCAAAAAAAGACATTTTTGTTTTTAAAAGCCCCTAAGGGGTTTAAACAATAGGTCCCCCCATTTAAACAAATGAGTTTTTTTTAGACTAGAAGAGTTCTGCCTTTTAAGACAGGAAAGTACAGCAGTTAAAGTTGCTACTTGAGAAAATACTGAACCATAGAGATAAAAATAGCCCTGTGATTCAAATTATAAATTGTATTTGGAATAAAAATGAGAGAACTAGGGGTGCTAAAAAACACATCCTCCAAAGACAGATATTTACATGGGAATGTGGCATATAATTAATTGACATATTACTGATCTTGCTGGATTTTATTCTGCTTTACTTCCATAAATTGCAGGATCTTCTTTACTTTATCTTCACCAGAAGATTTAAACTTTAAAAGCCTTGCCCTCATAATTTGCAAGTTAATTTATTTATAAAGTAAATATAAACGCTGCTTAAGCTAATTCAAATGAAATTAAAAGTAAAATAAGTAGCCAACCTTATCACTGTCTGTAACCTACTAACAAGGTAAGGAAAGCATCAGATGAGCTACCTGAGAAACTAACGTTACGTTTCCCCACTTTAAAACCAAACAAACATGGTGGTTCCGTGCCATGTTAATTTCTTTTGAAAAAAGTTGCATGTTATCACTTTTTTCGCTTTACAAAGCGCAGGCTATTTTAATTATTGTGATCAATTTGCGCCGTCAATCCCGGTGCATGCGCGCTTCATTTGCAGTCTGGACGCTGAGGCTCTGACTGAGAGGGACTCCTGCGGGAGTGGGGGGAGGCGCCCCACGGCAGAGTAGGAACATGCATGCTTTCACGTAAGAGTCTCCAAAAGCCGCCAGTGACACCGAAAAAAGTCGCCAGATTTGTCGCTAGTCGCTTTTTTGAAAAACATTCGCTGGAGGGGTCTGAAAAGTCGCGGAGTTGGCAACACTGCACCTGCGGCGCTGACTCGCTCTGCCGTATTTTTTTTTCTTCCTCTTTCAGTCAAGAGTCAGTGATGACGGTGCGGCGGATGACGCAATAATCGCGCGACACAACTAATCGATGATGAAATTCGTTGCCAACGCTTTTAAAAGTCGATTTTTATCGATTTTATCGATTCGTTGTTGCAGCCCTAATTTACTTTTTATTATTTTTTACATTTCTGTCTCTTTTATCCACCTTACTTTTATCTTTTTAAATATTTATGTGTCTCTTGTGCTTCTTTTATTTTTATCTGTGATTTGTGAAATGTGAACATGTGTGTGAAAGGTGTACTACTACTGCACAAAATTGCCCATACTGGGACAAATAAAAGCTACTGAACTGAACTTTTTACTTAACAACACTTTTCAGGAACTACCTAAATAAAAATTTAATAAACAAATCAGCATTTTTCCCGCCAATTGCACGATTCCGTGACCAAGGAGATAATACTCTTGCCATTACCCTGAACAAACTGAGTTTTTTGGATAGTGGATGTTTGTTAACATTTCTTACTAACTCAATCTTCCTAGTATTTTTTTTCCAGTCATCTTCCAGTTTAAAATCCTCCACAGATCATGTTTTCCACAGAGCAATTGGAACTTCAATGAAGCCAACATTGAACCCAATGTACAGTGTTTTAAATACATAACTGAAATCAGCAAACCTTAGAGGATACTTTAAATAAATTCAATGAAGACTATCCTCATGCTTTAGCATCTTTCAAGGCAAAGAGAATAAACTGGTGCAATTTTAATAGTGACCAACCCAGATGATTGTGCTTCATTAACTCTTTTCAAGTATAAAAGAAACGGACAAGTTTCCTCATAAAGTTCCTTCTGACTTTAAAGTGTTTTTATTTCCTCTTCCTGGTGTCATTCCTGTGAAATAATGATCTAAAACTCCAGATAGTCATCTTCTTCTTCTATTCTCCCTGAGGCGAATAACATTAATTCATTTGAAGTTTTTTTTCTTTTAACAGCTATACCTTTACCTTAAGTTTAAAGCGACTCCACCTAACAGTTACTACGTGCAATTATAGAAACAGGATCGTTATTTACTGCTACTCCTGTTTTTTTTGCAACAGGAAATCCTTTCTTCAACGTGATAATGTTGTTGCTTACATTAAAGAAAGCAGTACACAAAGATTTGGTGTTCGAACATCCTGTCTGTGTGTTCAACATTCAGCAAGCCGAATGCGTGCTACTCTAACATTTATCATACAGCTTTGTTTAGAAAGCGGTTTGGGAGGTTTGTTTTTTTTCTCTTTTTTCTTTCATGCACAGATAATTAAAAAGGGACTCCAACAAACATGAGCCAAATTACTGAAGACTCATCAAAACGTACAGGATGTTAGCTACCTATTCCACAAACCTCTACCCCTACAGAGACAGGATGATATAAGCAGGATGTGTGCTGAGCAGGTTGGTGCCATATGTGCTGAATCAGAAAAAAAAAAAAAAAATGGGGCTGTAAAACATTTTGACACAGAAATTTTTTTTTGTTTTTTAACACTTCTGTTTCATTGCTTTTCTATTCTCTTTTGCAGAAAAATCATTTTGATTTCCTGCTTGGCAACAGCTTTAACGTAGCTTATATTCACTTTGTTTCAATCCTTATCAATTCATGCAAGGTACAACATTTTTAACTTTACCTGAACAAACAATTTAAAATCTCTTTGAGGTTAGAATTTTACTCAATGAAAAACAAGTGGCTATATTAAACAGTATTTTTCATGATGACAAAAGTAACAGCATTTCAGGAAACTAAAAAAGCCCTATTAGAAGAAGGAAATGCCATTTTATTGTGTTTTTATGTCAGTTGTGGCTGCAATAAACTGCCTTCATTAGAGCCTCAGCGCACGGCCTTAAATAATAATGTCAGGCTCCAAGAACTGAGCTTGAAACTAATCACCTTAGTCACTCAGACCTAAATTCACCATTAGGCTCTTCCAGCCACTGCTATTCATCATGCAACCTAATCCCTATAAATTATTCACACTGTTCCACAAAGGTATTCCAGAGCAGCCCGATTTGCACACAGTTCATGCCCGAACGTTACTAATCGGTACACGCCGCCATGCTGCGGCAGCATTTACGCAACAGAGTGCTGCAATTTCTTGTTAATTAATGAGCAAAGTGACGGTTAATTCAATCAGAAGTTTTTCATGGGGTGATAACTCACTGCATATCGAGGGTTATTAGTAAACAATGACCTTTGAGTTCTTTGCTGCGTACAGAGAGAACGAAGCAAAACAACATGTTTCTGTGCAGTTCTTCCTGTATCATAACTTCAACAAACACATTTTCAGACAGCTTTGAGCTAAATGATTGTCATATTAAATGTTCAGACTGTTTGTTCTCATCAGTTTAACACATTTGGATCATCTGTATGTACCTGTACTCTATAGAATCGCTATCACATCGTTTGTGTCGAAACTCAACCACATATCATATTTTCCGCCTGTTCTTGTCACAGCCTTTGGAGGAATTTTAGCAATGCGGCAGTGCTGTTAATTCTGTTCGTCCATGGGTGCATTTGTGTACGTATGTTTATACATACCTTCTCCTCCCATGCCCACAGGCCTATCCCCAAGAATGCTGCTCCTAGCAACTGTAAAACAAAGCAGACAGAGAAAAGCTTTACTGTGAGAGAGCAAAAAAAAAAAAAAAACATCCTTAACATAACTGAAAAATGCATGACTCAGATTTAACTCCAAATAAATGTGAGGCATTATGTGCAGTTTAACCACTGGGAGAGGTTTCATAAAATCCTCGTTTATCAGGCACATCTGGGATGGGTATATTTACAGGCGATGTCTCCAAGGTGATGTCGGCAGATAACGTAACACACATTAGGATTGTTTTTGTTTTGTTTTTTTTTGTTAAATTCATCCGTCACCTCCCCTAAATTAAAAATGACTTATGGTTTTAATAACATTAACATCACAGTACAGAGAAAACTGAACTAGAAAAAAAACAAAAACAACAACAAATGTCATTATCCTACTTTATGTCCCCCCTACTGAGTTTGGTTGAGCATTAGATTTTCTATCTTGCATTTTAATATTACAATGATGACAAAGATTGCTGAGGCACAGCTACACTCTGCACCACTAACAGGCCTGTCAGACTGGAGCCACAGTTAGGCATGTCTGAATGATTGAATACAACCGCTTTGACAAATAAGGCCATAAATGCTGAATGTCTCGGGTCAAAAAAGTGTTTTTAAGGTGCTTTCAATCTCTTGTTAGATTAGGAAATCATTGCAAATCTTTAGGGCACTGTGAGTTAAGGCTGATCAGTTCAGGGAAATAGTTTTACTCTCATATTCCAGTGAAGTCTCAATTGTTAGTTTTGTTTTGTTTTTAACAATGAATGAATGAATCATCAAGAGATTGACCTCTTTATAATGAGATACAGATTTAGACAAAACATAAGAGCGATTTTTAGCTCAAGTAAGTATTCCTGTTTTTCTGCACTCAGTTGATTTAATGACTACATGGGGCAAGATGCAGCAGTTCTATGTTGGTTTTATTTAAGATGAACATGTGAAGCAATTTTTTCTTGTGTGCCTGATAATTGAGGAAGCTTCATATTTATTGCTCTGCATGGCGTAATGGTCATCCAGTGCATGAAGAGTGAGCGTTTGCATCGGGCATGAAGTAAAAACAATGGATCTGTACAACACAATCTAAAAAGTACGAAGGTTTTTGAAACTCGATCTGAAAAATTGAAAGTTGAAGAAAAAAAAAAATTTAATCTGCAAAAAAATGACAAATAAAAAAAGAAATAACCTGAGAAAGCAGCAAAGTTATTCTCAAAACATGTTTGATTCAAATGTGTTTAATGTGTCACTTCTTGATTGTATTTTATTTCAAAAATGTGTTTTTTATTACTGCTATTGTTGCAGGACTTCCACGTAAAATTTGCATGAGAAAGTTCTTACTTCTACTATCGTATATGGGTATTTGTGCTATATGCAACTCTCCTCCCTTCGTTCCTCATAGTGGCAGACCGACTTTAAATGCATTACTGCTACCTAATGACCTGGAAGAAGAAATTTAGTGTTTTGCTCTTGTTTAATGTGATTAACATTCAGTACCTCTGCAGTTTAAATATTGAGTTATGCTAAATTGCGATTATTTTGTAAATGCAATCACTTGCCCAGCCCTACTCCACAGATCTGTTTGTTCTATCTAGTTTTGCGCTGATGCCATTTTTTGGCCCCGATACCAATACCTGTCTTTGCATTATCGGCCGATACCATACCGATACCTTCTGTTTGAAATTGATGTGTGTGTATATATGAAGAACTGCATACTACTTGGATGTAAAATAATTGCCATCATGGCTTTGTCAAGCTGCTGCCTACCTTTGTGAAGCAGGAAAAAAAGACTAATACAAAGTGAATTAAGTAGAACTTTTTAGTGCCTACCTGGAACAGGTGACAATAGTTGAATAAACTTTTGGTTTATTGATACCGTTTTGAATAAAAGGTATTGGTGCCCTATTTGTTGGTGCTAGGGGTCAAGTTTAGTTTGATGCAAAGAATATGATCTTTGATGAACATATTTGAATTGCAGAGGATCTGCGAAACAACTCAAGGAATGTGAGGGAAAATAAAAGTCCAACCTGTGACGCAAAGGTTGGCTTGAAATGTTTTCAATGCTCGTCAGGCAGAAAAATTAAATAAAATAATGGCAACCAATTGTATTCTGTCAACCAAAGGGGTAGTGATGTTACAAACGACAGCACCAGTAGCAGTGTGGCTGGCTTGGCGTGGTCGTTATATAAGAGTTCTAGTGAAGGGTGTGGTAGTGCTAGATTTAGAAATAAAGACACAGCCAGAAGGAGTCAAGAGGTAGTAGGGATTAGATCGACAGATCAAGAGCTTTACTGTTTTTAACCAGCAGCAAGCTGAAGGTTAAAACTAGACTTTCACCAGTAAGGGACACAAGATACCACCTAAAAGACTATTTCTGCCTTCCCTTAAGCAGTTATGGAAGATATACAGCTTATACTGAATAAAGGTTTTCTTAATACTTCCAAAAGAAAAAAAAAAAAAAAAAAAATATATATATATATATATATATATATATATATATATATAAACATTGTTTATATCAAAAGCTTTAAGCAAACAAAATAGTTTTCATTCAGCCTTACTGGTGGGGTTCATGCATGACCTGTGGCTACAAGAGGATTTATGAGTTCTGGTTCTTTGTTTCAGCCCTCTGAGTGGTGTACTTAATGTACATACATTATATTACCAAAAGTATTTGCACACCTTCCTTGACTCCTATATGAAATTCAGTGACATCCAATTCTTAATCCATCACGTTCAATATGACAAACTAAAGGTTAGGGGTGTGAGGAATAATTGTTTTGGCGATATATGGGCTATTCGGCTGCCCCATATAATATCAATCTTTTACTTCCTAGTATTGATTTTAAAAAACAAAAAACAGAACATGGTTACCTGAAACAATGAGGGAAAACGGGCTACCCCTACCCCGCCACAGTGGAAGACATGGACCCAAACCCCAAACAACATGGATACCAAAATAACTCAAAAATCCATATACAGAACTTGCTTTCCTATCTTATCATATGATTTTGATAGCTGGGTAAAATATCACAATATATAGGGATATTGCAATATCGCATGTCATAACCCGTATCGAATCGCAGCACCGATGCCAAAACTCTCCCCTACTAAAAGTGTTCTATCATGTTAGAGGTCAGGATCCTGTGCAGACCAATCAAGCTATCCAAACCAAACTCCTTCCCTATCTTTATGGACATGGGTGAGGCATTGTTGGGAGCATGAAAATGACCAAAATGTCATGCTGAGGCATTCAGAGTTCATTTCCCTGGAACAAAGGATTCAGCCTAGCACCTGAAAACAAACCTACCAGACGATCCCCCAAATTTACACTTGACAAAATACAGTCAGAAAAGTACAGTTTTTTTCTTTCAGCTGCTAAACCCAGACTTGGCCATCCGATTTCCAGATGAAGGTGTATAATTTGTCACCCCAGGGAATGCTCCTCTACTGTTTGTCGAGTCAAGTGGCGACATTCTTTGCACCACTGCATTGCACTTGGGGATGCATGGTCACGATACAGCTGCTTGGCCATGGAAACCTATTCTATGCACTGCTCCTGAGCTTTCTAAAGGCCATGTGAAGTTGCCTTTCCACCTCTGTCATTCCCAATTTCTTTAACTTACTTAAAATGCCTTTGAAAGCTGAAATTAAAGTTTCACTACTGGACTCAAAGACCCGCTGCACAGATTATAGGGTTGTCAAAAGTATCGAGACTCAAAAAAGTATAGATACCAAAATGTTGTATCCGGATACAATACTCGTTTTTAAAAGTATCGATACAGTGCTACAGTGCTTTGTTTCTTAACCAGTTTGGCAAGTGTCATTGTTATGTGTGAAAAGCATAGCCAAGGAAGGAACGCTTAATTTTAATTTTATAAGTTTTTTATCAAGCTTGCTTAATATTGTGCACAGCAAACAACCTCAAAATATTGTTCTTATTGTTTATTGTATTTTATTTATTAATGAAAATATTTCTGTAGAATTTTGGAGTCTTTGTTTTTATCCTTGTGGTATTGATTATCGAGTATTTTCCTTAGTATCGGTATCGAGTTGAAAAGTTTAGTATCGTGACAACCCTAACAGATTAATCAGGGTCCATGCTGGAAATCACTGAGCTCGAGGGAGCATCCCATCCTTTCGAAAATGTGCCTGAATTCAAACACCTGTGGCCATAGAGGAGATTGAAGCATCTTTTTATTTGGCAGCACAGTGCGTCAAGAATTTGACACTGCAGGATTTATGGACAATAAATTAATGTGAAACTACTGCAGAAAGTTGCGAAAACCATAATGACTACCATTGATCTGCATTTTCTGCCTCTTGTCTTTCTTTAAAATTCAGTAGTGTGCAAAGCATGACTCAATGATATTTGCAGGGCTCTCACCAGAATAATTTATGAGCGATACTTTAGTTTGCTCACTGCTGTTGGGGCTATAGTGTATTCACCTGTCGATTCATGTCCTCACAGTTCTGTTAAACAGTTCTGTTTAAAAAGCAGAGTTTCTGCAACCATTTTGCTTGTTGAAAGTGGCATCGACATTATGCCATTGTTATTGTAAAAGTTTCAGGTTAACTTTTGTCAGGACAGTAACGCGCTGAGGAGGATGCCGAGATGTCAGTCAAAGGGCTGAAACGCTCAATAAAAACATGCCTTTATGGAGTGTAACGGCACTGGCGGGAACATTGAGCTTGGTTCTGCTGGAGGTTTCTTCCTGTTAAAAAGGGGTTTTCCCTCTCCACTGTCGCTACAAGCATGCTTAGTGTGAGAGATTGCATTCGAGTCAAGAAGGCGATGCAATCAACTGGTTTTCCTTAGATAGAAAACTTTGAATCAATCTGACTGGATGATCTGGTGAACTGCAAAGTGCCTTGAGATGAAATATGTTGTGAATTGGCGCTATAGAAATAAACTGAATTGAATTCTGATTAGATGCACCCAGGCTGTCCTTTGAAACCAAGATGTTGCAAACTCTTATAGTGGGATGCAGACTGCAACTAAATAC